GAGAGAGAGAGAGAGAGAGAGAGAGAGAGAGAGAGAGAGAGAGAGAGAGAGAGAGAAGAGAAGCAGCCGATCAGGAAGGCACACCGTAGTAGCATTCACGGTAGATCTAGGACGTCGACAGAGGAACAATGAGTGAGGAACAGTGAAAGCGGGAGGGAGACAGAGGAGAGAGAGAGAGAGAGAGAGAGAGAGAGAGAGAGAGAGAGAGAGAGAGAGAGAGAGAGAGAGAGAGAGAGAAGAGAAGCATCCGAAGGAGGAGGAAGTTGGGTATATACCTGACGCGTGTTACAGCGGTTGAAACAGCTTATTCTCGAACTTTTTCAATTGTATATTATTGTACTTTGAGTGGAACTTTGAATCTTGCGTGAACTTCATCTGATTGCTCTCAACTTGCATGTTGTATTCTAAGTTGAATCTTGTGAGGTTCATTGCACAAACATTAATCAACCCCTAATTGAAGCTGCTAAGCTGCTGCTGACCTTAAACAAGAAAAAGAAAAACACTTTGCTGCTAGCTTCAGCATTTGGCTCAATTCATCTTCAAAGTGAAATTACTAAATTAGTAAATACAGTAAAAATTTGTACAATACTTTCTTTTATTTTCTTTTTCTTTAAAAAGGTCCACGACCTTGAGATATCATCTCATCGACTGACTGGCCCCACGTAAATTCAGAGGCATTTTCACTCATCTGATTCCAATGATATTCGAACTCAGGTCTGTGTTTCAACAGTTGATAGGTGTGTACCAACTGAACTAGGCCAGTTGGTAACAATAAATACTTTCTTTGTCTTTTCTAGAAAAAAAAACAAGGCGACGGCCTTTAGATATCATAATTGAACCGACCGGCCTCTACAACGAACCGAGAGAGAGAGAGAAGTGGCTGAGAGAAAAGGAACAGGGCAAAAGGAAGAGATGACACGTGGATTTGCAATTAGTTCCCGTCCTGGCCTTCAGATGATCTACATCCATCAGCCGCGGCCAACCACTCACCAACAACAGTGATACGTCATTGTGAGCCTGTTTGTTGATGACAACAATGGCAAGGGAATGATGAAGCCCTCCCCTCTTCCATTGGACCAGAGCGCAGCGTTTCAGTCTACTAATGGAAGGGAATAACAAATCTGAGGTAGCTCACAGACGAAGCACACACATACCTCCTTCTGAAACGTGTCCAGCTCGAATGGAAACTCCATAGCCATCTCTGGTACCAGCTCCTTGAACCTTTTATCAATTCCATGCATGCCATCCATGATAGCCCAGACCTGCACCATCGTCATCATCATCAGTGTCACCAGCATCATCACCGTTATCATCAGCTTCATTAGCGTCATTATCATCGCCATGGTCGTCGTCATCAGCACCAGCAGCAGCAGCAGCAGCAGCAGCAGCAGCATCATCATCATCAGCAGCAGCAGCAGCAGCATCGTCATCATCATCATCATCATCATCATCATCATTATCATCATCAGCACACGACTCCAAGTTGGCAGGCCACATCATCATCCACTAAGCATCTGGACCTCATCGTCATATCAACATTCATTGCCCGATAGTTGCAAAGAAAAAGAACAATAAGGCCTATTCATCATGGTGACTACTGTTTTAATGCTTGCCAGCTTTCTTGTTATTTTTCTTTTCATAACGTCAGAAGTTGAGCTATTTCACATGCACTGTAAAGCTCCTCCCACTCCTATTCTGCACCTCTCAACTTCTCAAGTCAGTTCACAGAGTCAAGCCAGAGCCAAGCCAAACAGGGTCTTCTCTTTTCCCGCCAATTCTTCCAAGCCCGTTCCACTTTAAAGTGTGCAAATTCAGCAAAAAAAATAAAAAAATAAAAATAAAAATAAAACACGCTTCAAAGAATGTTATACTGCTTCCCATTTTGTTACGATTGCTTATCAACTTAGCGCAGTTTTTAGCGCAGCTTTAGCGCATCGCGTGCGAAGGGATCGCGGGTAGTTTTGTTAGTTTTTTTTTGCTTCGCGCAGTGAAACGCCGCGTGAATGGTTCTCTTCGACCAGGCTGACTTAGCAGGAAGACGTCGAAGGCGGGGACGGGGCTAGCTTGATAGGCGATGGAGGAAGGTTGGCCGACGTCGCACGAAGACGGATCTTAAGGCAACGTGGAGGCTGGCGCCGGTGAAGGAGCCAGGGGACCGGTTTTACCTTCCTTGCAGAGTAAAGAGCTGGGCGAGCGCTTTCCGGGAGCGGGGATCTTAAGGCAACGTGGAGGCTGGCGCCGGTGAAGGAGCCAGGGGACGGGTTTTACCTCCCGTGCAGAGTAAAGAGCTGGGCGAGCGCTTTCCGGGAGCGGCGAACTCGACGAGGAGGCGACGACGAACTGCACGCACAACCGGGTACTGGGCGGTTTCGACAAGGAGGCGTTGACGGATTGCACAGGGTCAAGTCGTGTTGACAAGGAGGCGTCGACGGGTGCCCAGGGTCAAGCCGGCTTCGGATGGCCGTTCGCTTCTCCGTATAACAAAGAGCCGGGCGAGTTCTCTCCGGGAGCAGCGGACTCGATAAGGAGGCACTGACGGGTTGCACAGGGTCAAGCTGACTACTGACGGCCGTTCCGATCACGATGCAGATACTGCCCTCGCTCGACGGGTGGAGAGCCAGAATAGGCCCGCTGGAGTTAAAACTTGACGATACCGACTGAAGGAATATCGAGCGGGGTCAAAGAGAAGGGGGGGTAGGAAGGGGGTAGAAGTCGATGAACCTGGTAAGCTGGCTGAGGGGGTGTTTGGAGGGGGACGAAACCACACGGGGGGAGATTTAGGAGCTCTTCCTGATGAACCGATTGGCTCATCTTAAAACGCGAATTAGCCAATGAGCCTTGGAGGTCTGGCTGACCTGCCGATAAGGCGAGGAGGTCCTCGACAGGGTTCGGTACTGGTTGTTGCCGGTAAGCGTGGGGGAGGATTCAGCTAGTGGTTGGATAGCGAACCTTTTCAAGGAGTAAGATAGGAAGATAACTGCTATTGGACGAACTTTGGGGGAAGGAGGAGGAAGTTTGATTCAAAATAGCAAGGGTTTACGCAGGGATCTTTAGATAGAAGCACGGGAGAAGGGTTCGAGGGAGGGAATGGAAGGGATGGCACAAGAACGATGGCGCCTCATGCAGATGCTGAGGCGCTCATATCTGTTGCGCCAACCGATGGAAGGGCCTGGACTGATTGAGTATGCAATGCATGGAGGAGTATGTTTGGCACGGCCAACAAAAGAAATCATGTATTTGCAAAACACCTACTTGCGGGCGCACACAGTGGCATGTAAGATGCCGGAAGGAACAACACGCTGGTCACAGAAAGCCAAGCGGGAATGGGTAGGCCACATGGAGGAAGCATGGACGTTGGGGAGAGGCCCGTGGCGAGGTGAAATTGACACAGAGGGGGATTTGACTGTTGCATACTTAGCACCGACGGTTGAGTTAAGAGACTGGCTCATAAACGAAAGAACGGGGGACTAGGTGCACGTGGCAGAAGTGCATGGCCAAGTGACATATCAATCATGGAAGCTGCCAACTGAAATGAATGCGGCCAGAATGCTCGAGCGAGAACGACGGCCATGGGTGAAGGTCTTCAAACCCTCCCTCCTGGCAGCTAAATGGACAAGCGGGGCAGTGGAATATTTTTTTGGCCCAATAGTTAGCGAACAGCGGGTGGATGATGAGGAAAGAGAATATGTGAGGTATGCTGTGGATGGCCCGCTGAAGAACCCGCTGAAGAGCAGCGTGGCGGTGGCTATTGGACCCTATAGCTTCGAGGAGGTGAGAGTAGTAACAAGTGAGACACCCTTCTGTGAAGTGTGCTTCACGCATGGCCACATGGGGCTCCATGGAAGATGCTTGACGCCGGCCGAGACACTGCAGGAGCTGCACGAAAGGGAGATAAGAAGTACCATGGACCCGATCTTGCAGTCGAGTCCTCAAGAGGAAAGGAGGGCCTGGCATGAGCTGGAGCTCCAGACGGACAAGGCCCTGCTGAATGAAGTCAGAATTGCAGCACAGACGCGAATGGAGGCTGCAAACCAGGTCCGCCACGAAGGAAGCCGGCCAAGTGGGGAGGTAGATACCGCCGGAATGTGCCATGGGAGGGGAGGGGAGACGATCCCATGCAGACCGATGACCCGCAGTGGCTTTTTGGGGAGGACCGTAAAAGGAAGGCAGAGCAGCGGCCGGAACAAGAGAAAGGATCTAAAATGGCAAGCTCAGGTCAAGAACAAGGGATAGGAGGGGACCAAAGGGAGAATGATGCTGAGGGATCGTCAGCTAAGGCAGGAAAGGATGTCGGGGAGGGCGGGCATGCACAGTCTTCAAAAGGGACTCTGGTGGCCGAAGAAAGGGGAGAGACCAGTCAGCAGAAAGGAGGGCGGTAGGAAACAATCAATCAGGGAACGCAAGGACAGCAGGGGGAACATGCAATTACGACTGAGAGGAACGCTGAGGGGGGCGAAGAAGGTGGGAAGGGAGGGGAGTCTGAGGTCCGAGGGGGACAAAGTGAGAGGGGGAAGGAAACACGGTCGGACGACAGGCAGGAAGTGCACGAACGAGAAGGGGAGGGGCATGTCGAACAGCGAGGGGAACAGGACAGCGTGGGGGAGTCGGGCACGCGGCAGCAACCGGGTAGGCCGGTGTACGAAACGCCAATCATAGCTGATCAGGTCCCAATGGACCGCTCACCGACAAAATACTGGCGCAGGCGCAAGCAAGTGACCACGGGACCAGAGAAGAACTCGTCATCAGCCGAATGCTTTCCTGTTCCGACCTTCTCTTCCAGTAGGGCGACATCGAAGCGTGGAAAAAGCACGAGCCAGGCGGCCCCAGGACGGCAGACTTCATCACAAACCTCACGAACAAGGCTGAAGAGTACAAGAGAAAGGCAGCGATCCCCCTTGGGAACCAAGGGGTATGAACCGAGGTACTCGCTGAAAGGGAAAGAAAAAGGAATGAATCGCCACCGCCTTCGGTATGGGTCCCCCTAAAGAAACCAAGTTTTGGCCTCCCGGCTGATGGGGTGGGCGAACAGTCAAGCTGCCAAGAGGAGGACAGCTCGCCGGAGTCCTCAACTACAGAAACATCGGACAGCTCGGGGGAAGATCAACAGTCCGCTCATCAGTCTGCAAGCCAGCGGCAACAGGAGCGATCAGCAGAAGGAGAGCAGCATACATCGCAGGGGCAGGGGTCGGAAGAAAGGGCCATACCAGTGGAGTCGGAAAGCGCAGAGGACCGGAGCACGCAGGAGCAGGAAGGGCAGCAGAAACAACAACCTGAGAGTCAGCTGGAGGGTTTGGCACGGCAGGAGCGAGTGGGGGCTAGGTTGGCTGACATACTGAAGGCAGGAGAGGGCTACGTCTGCCCGATTGTCTTATGGCGGGCGCCAGAGGAAATAAAATTGCTCTTGGAGGGAGCGACGGATGTACCAACTTTTGGAGTAGCTCGCCCACCTCGGGAACAGCAAGTACTCAAGAAGGTGGCTGAGTGGCTGGGCCAAAGATACGAGGTGGTGGCGCTGCCTCAGATATCAGCATCACAGTTTGTGAGGCAGACTGTGGAGGGGGAAGAGTATGCCATTTTTGCATATTTCGTGGAGGCCATCCCCAGGAGGCCAGGATCTCCGAGGTTAGGAACGACCGGCATGCACTGGATACGTTTCGCCGAGGCCTATGGGCCCACGGCCCTCTCGCAAGACTACCATTTGATTCATGCAACATCCCTGGCTCTGCTCAACACCGTCAATGCGCGCTTGCCGCAGGTCGAACAAGTGGGGGGAGAGCAGTTCCAAAATGGAACTGGTATTTGGGAACGGGGGGAGTGAGGGGTTAGAGTAGGGTAGCGTAGGAACTATAGTATATACTTATCTTGACCGGGTGTCGCAAGGATGAGGACATCCCCCAGCAACTAATAGAGGAAGATACTACCTTTACACAATTTTAGATGCACTTGGGGAGGGGTTTAGCGGTTAGGGGATGCAAACACAGAGAAACTGCAACAGGCTGAAACTGCTGACTTGGAATGTGAGAGGCCTGGGGGCCCACTCACTGCTGCCCAAGCGAAGGGAGTTGGCGAGGAAGGTGAAAGACGAGCAGATAGATGTGGTGTGCCTACAAGAGACTAAGCTGAATGAGGCTAGAACGTTGGAACCAATGTTATGGTGGAAGGGCTGCCAGATCTGGGCCCCGGCGCAGGGCACCAGGGGGAGGGTCTGTATTCTTATCTCCCCGCACTTTAGAGGAGAAGTTACAGACTGGTTCTATGATTC